ATATATACACACAGACATATATACACACAGACATATATACACACAGACATATATACACACAGACATATATACACACTCAGTGACCTGTCAGAACATGTAGAGAAGAGAGACTAAAGACAACAGCAGAGTGAGGAAATGTGCTCAGTTTGTGCTCCAGCAGTCTAAGTCTATAGCAGCAGAAATGAAGAAGAATTCAGGAAACCTAAGTCTAACTATAGGATTTATGAAAAAGGAAAGTCTTCAGTCACCAACATGTTTTTAATTCTTCCTGTTTATGGAAGCAGACGGTTCAGTTGGGACTCAGCATGTCGCTGCAGTCAGCTTCATGTGTTTGTGTAGAAGTGACACAGATTTACTGTGTTTGTAAAAGAAGAAGTGAAGCTCTGCCTCGGAGCTGATCCTTTATGTGTGGAAGAGCTGGTTGGTGTTCACGTCACGTACACATCACCTACGGCAGAGCTGATGTTAGTGTTTATATTACTGCCATTAATCACAGCCAGCAGGAGAGTTTTCTGTTCCTCCATCACTTTGTTTCTGTTCTGACTTTAAAACACACAGTCCTGCTGAACGCACCTTTTTATTCTTGTCTTCATCAGTGTGGATATAATAAATACCTGATTAAATATTGGACCAAGCTACACTCTGAACTACAGACTGATCTGATCTAATCAGATTGTTTTAATAAAATCTTTTTAACTGATGAACTTTCTGACTCTGAGGAGGAGGTGGAGTCAAAGAGGAAGAGGATGACAACAGACAGATGAAGATCTAACAGCTGATGAATCCTAATCGAGGAGAGAAATGGCAGAAATGAGTCAGTTGAGCTCATCGGAGGAGAACAGGTTGATGTGCTGTTTGGAGAATATCAGAGTGGTTGAGCAGGAAGATGTGAAATAATTTGTTTTCAGCAGAGACGTGTGAGACCAGCTGCAGCTGAAATAAAAAACAAGCCTTACGTTTCTTCTGATCTGTTCAGTCCTGAGCACAGACAGAAAGTATAAAATACAACCTGTCATCAAATCATCTCTTATTTTCTTGTCAGAGAGTCTGAGAGGAAGTCATTGTGACCCGTTAGAAGCAGACGGTGCTGTCAGAACCTCCCTGCAGAGCTCAAACTGTTTTAATCAGGAAACTCAGGACTTGTTCATGTTTAACAGAAACTGTTTTTCTCTCAGTTTGATCAGAAACACGTCGTTTTTCCTGTCAGCTGAAGACGTCTGTGTTTCACTTCAAACATGTTTTTATTTCGGTCATGATGGATGCTGTGATTCTGGAGGACGATGAAGACATCAGGCTGAAAGTAGTCAAATATTTAATAGACTTTTAATAGTTGTTAATTCATCAAACTTAATGTTTTAGAACTAAATAAACAACAGTGTCTCCAGTGGAGGAAAAACTTCATCTGTTCATTTATGATTCGACACAATATTTATCCTCTGAATTTATCACATTAAACTACAAAGTTACACTTAGATGTTGGAGCTCAGTATGTTCAGACCAACACACACACACACACACACACACACACACACACACACACACACACACACACACACACACACGCACACACACACACCTGGACTCTGTAGGCCTGAGCTCCACACAGACGTAGACGCAGAATGAAAAACCATGTATCTTGGAGGCATGCTTCACATTCTGCTTTCATCCATCTGTGAGGACCGTGTCGACACAACGCACGTTTAAAAATATCATTTTCAACTCAACAGTCGACCGAAACACCCCGAATCAAAAATCTATTAGGTTGTTTTTGTGTTGTTGCAGTTTTCCTGGTGTTTCGGAGCTTCTCTCTGGTCTGTAATCCGTTTCATCCGGACAGATCAGATATTTGTTATCTGAGGAGCATAAAGCCTAAAAGCTCCAACAAAAGGAGGGAAACGAGGACAGGGGACGGGTGGGACGCTGCAAATTAGATTCTGGCAGGTATTATCCATTTCAGAGACGTATGGACGTCCAAGGACAGGGCCAGCAGGGTAAACAATGGTTCCACATGGCGGCAGGATAAATAAACACAGAGAATAAACTGTGGACTCTGAGACATGGCTGAGACAGGGCCTCATTATGGAGACAACAGGTTTGACTTCTTCCTAATGATTGATCCTGTCTTCATGAGGAGCAGCTGGTTTTACAGAATCAGGTTTGAGCTGCAAAAAAATGTCAACTGCATTTACAGAACCTGCAGTTTCTTTTTCTTCAACACAAAAAACTGAAAGGATTTCAAAAAGCTGAGCAGCACAGCTTTCAGTTTTATTATCAAAAGTTAATTCAATTGAAAGTCCAACAACTCAAATATTTAAATTCAGATACTTGGTTCAGCTACTCAAGTTTAGCAGCTCAAAACAGTCCTGGTTCTATCAGAACCAAATAAACCCAAAGCAGCTATAAAAGAAGGTCCAGGTTCCTGACAGGGACAGGTGATACCAAAGATGTGTGCTGGGGTCTTCAGGTTATCCTTCGGCTGCAGGATCATAAGTTTGGTCCGTGTCAGAACCTAGTCTGATGGTGGACTGCCTGCAGCAGCAGCAGCAGCAGCAGCAGCAGGAGGAGGAAGAGGAGGAGGAGGAGGAGGTGCTGAAGGTGAGATCATTACAAAGAAAGAAGAAAAAAGAATGAAAAGAAAAAGTGAAGAGGATCCTGAGGGCAAAGCCACCCATCAGAGCCGTCTGAGAGGGAAGTTACAGATGTCACTTTACTGAGATGTCCACTTTCATTTGGAGGACATCAATGTCTTTTTCAATAGTCATTACCTGCAGAGACACCAGGGAGCAGAGAGGAGATCAATGGGCTGATTAAAGAGACAGAGACGTCTGCTGCTGAAGAATCTGACCACAGATTCTTCCTCATGAACAGGAGTTCATATTTTAAATAACAGCAGGATTATTTTCTGCTCTTAACGAGCTGCAGGACCAATTAGAGCTCAATTAACCCATTAAAGACAATTAAAAAGGACATTTCCTTTAGTCTCTTCCTTCAGACTGAAGAATAAAGACCTGAAAAACACAGCCCTTTATAGTCTGTTGAATAAAATATATATTTTCACTTACTGACATAAATAAGACTAAACAGATGAAAAAGATACATTTAGAACTCAGATGTGAGAGAACAGCAGACAGAAACTACAGAAACTAAAACTTCTGGACAAATCTACTGAGTCCATTAGTGTCTGACCTCTGACCAGTAATGTTGGCTCATATAGAGGGATATTGACTGGTATTGTACGACATTGGCTATTATTATGGGACATAACAATAGGTACAATAGGTACAATAGGTTGCCTTCAGGCCCAGGCCGCCCTTGAAAAAGAGATCTGAGATCTCAATGGGATTTGCCTGGTAAAATAACAGTAAAATAAAATAAAAAAAATAAAATAAAATTAGTTCTTTTGGTGGGAATTGGCTGGTATTGTTGGATATTGGCTGGTATTATGGGAAATTGAATGGTATTATGGGACAATGGCTGCTATTGTGGGATACTGGCTAGTATTATCGGACATTGGCTCTTTTGATGGGAACTGGCAGGTATTGTGGGACAATGGCTTGTATTGTGTGACATTTGCTGGTAATATGGGACATTAACTGGTATTATGGGACATTGACTGATAATGTGGGACAATGGCTGGTATTGTGTGACATTGGCCGGTAATGTGTAACATTGTCTGGTATTATGGGACAGTGGCTCTTTTGGTGGGAAGTGGCTGGTATTGTTGGACATTGGCTGGTATTATGGGACATTGGCTCTTTTGGTGGGATTGGCTGGTATTGTGTGACATTGGCTGGTATTGTTGGACATTGGCTATTGGCTATTATGGGAAGTTGGCTCATTTGGTGAGAATTTGCTGGTATTAAGGGACATTGGCAGGTATTGTTGAGGATTCTAGCAGTACGTGTAGGGACAAAAGGTTGGAATAAGGGTCACATAAACATCTGGTAGAACGTTCTGGAAAAGTTGACATCATCGAGCAGTCCACAATACATTTAATAAGTGTGTATTGGGTGGTCTTAAATTTCCAGCCCATTCTGGGAAAAACCCACCCTTTCCTGGTTTTGTGTTATGAAAAACAACTTGGGTACAAAAAGGTCTGGTTTCTAAATACGTCAGTTCAATTTTCGAATGCCTGTCCTGTCGGTTGAAACGTGGTGCTGAACTCAATAAAAACTCCCTCTTCGGCTGGCCAAAAGCGATGTCTCCACTCTTTGTTCATCTTGACAGCAGAGATCTTCTCTGCCCCTTCAGTATTAAGGGACATTGGCTGGTATTATGGGACATTGGCTCTTTTGATGGGAATTGGCTGGTATTGTTGGACATTGGCTGGTATTATGGGATATTGGCTGGTATTATAGGACGTTGGATGGTTTCATGGGACATTGGCTTTTTTTGGATGGAATTGGCTGTGTGACATTGGCTGGTATTGTGGAACAATGGCTGGTATTATGGTACAATGGCTGCTATTGTGGAATACTGGCTGGTATTGTGGGACATTGGCTTGTATTGTGTGTCATTGGCTGGTATGGTGGGATATTGGCAGGTAATATGGGACATTGGCTGGTATTATGGAACATTGGCTCTTTTGGTGGAAATTGGCTGGTATTGTTGGACATTGGCTGGTATTGTGTGGCATTGGCTGGTATTATGGGACAATGGCTGGTATTGTGTGACATTGGCTGGTATTGTGGAACAGTGGCTGGTATTGTGAAACATTGGCTGGTATTGTGGAACACTGGCTGGTATTATGGGACAGTGGCTGGTATTGTGGAACATTGGCTGGTATTATGGGACATTGGCTGGTATTGTGGGGCATTGGCTGGTATTGTGGGGCATTGGCTGGTATTGTGTTACATTGGCTGGTATTGTGTGACATTGGCTGGTATTGTGTGACATTGGCTGTTACTGTGTGACATTGGCTATTTTGGTGGGAATTGGCTAGTATTGTTGGACGTTGGCTGGCATTGTTGGACAGTGACTGGTAATGTGGGACATTGGCTTGTATTGTGGGACAGTGGCTGGTATTGAGTGACCTTGGCTGATATTATGGGATGTTGGCTCACTTGGTGAGAATTTGCTGGTATTATGGGACATTGGCTATTAATACGGGACATTGGCTATTAATATGGGACATTGGCTGGTATTATGGTACATTGGCTGGTATTAAAGGACATTGGCTGGTATTTTGGGACATGGGCTATTAATATGGGACATTGGCTATTAATATGGGACATTGGCTATTAATATGGGACATTGGCTATTAATATGGGACATTGGCTGGTATTATGGGACAGTGGCTCTTTTGATGAGAATTGGCTGGTATTGTTGGACATTGGCTGGTATTATGGGACATTGGCTTTTTTGATGGGAATTGGCTGGTATTGTTGGACATTGGCTGGTATTGTGGGACAATGGTTGGTATTGTGTAACATTGGCTGGTAATGTGGGACATTGGCTGGTAATGTGGGACATTGGCTGGTGTTATGGGACAATGGCTGCTATTGTGGAACACTGGCTGATTTTGTGGAACACATTGGCTGGTATTGTGTGACATTGGCTATTATTATGGGGCATAACAACACAATACTTGGTAAAATGACTTAAGTACTGTAACAAAGTAAACGTACTGTGTATTGACCTCTTGTAATGAGCCAATCAAAGGAGACTTCTCAGGTGTTTTATTAGATTCAGCCTCAGAGCACAGAGATTATTTTTACATTCAGCCGTGCTTCCTGGACACAGAGCCTGAGGGAAGGTCAGACCTGATCTGGACTCTGGAAAAGTTGAGGTTTTCCAAGTTTGATTTCAAAACGTGAAGTTAAACATGAAGGAAGGGATGCTGTAGGTCCAGATTAAAGACTGATGTCCACAAAATGAGCTGGATTAAACCAGATTATCAACGGAAATACACACTTCTTCCTCTGAGCAGGAGGTTATTATGCTGCACTTATCATCACCATCATCTTCTTTCATTATCATCATCTTTCTTCATCATCATCTTCTTTCATCATTATCATCTATCATCATCATCATCATCATCATCATCATCAGGATGAGGCAAGGTGCTGAACGATGTCTATTTTTTTCCTGCTTGGCCTTCAGAGGAGTCGGATGCTTTTACTCTTTTTCCCGAACCTGTCCCTCCTTCCTGCTTTGTCGCTTTTTCAAGCTTTTCTTCTAACTATCATCCAAAAACAAAAGGAATTGTGGATTTGGTCAACTGGTATCTGAACGCAATCAACACTATTTTTCCACACTGAGATTGGAGCGAGGGGAGCACAGCTGTCCCAGTGGAATGGTGGTGGCCAGTCGGGTCAGTGGTTCTTGGGGCTGGAACCTCATTTGTTTGGCATCGCTTTCCATTGAAGACGTGGAAGATCTGTAAATATTTGGATTTATGATAACTGGATTCCTGCTGATCGGCTGTGGAGGAGTCCTGACGCATCAGAAAATGAAAGCGATCCTGACAGCAGTCCAGGCCTGTGAGAAGCTGTCAGGAGCCTTGGATGGAGTCTCCCATACTGGAAACACACAGACTCTGATGTTGGAGGATATAAGTCACAAACTGGATGTAATTCTGATGAGAATCACAGTTCAGCAGTGTGCCCATGAGATGTAGGATTACACCTGGGTGAAGTTTCAGACATTTTCACCATCACAGACATGCAGTTAAAGACTTTAAAGCAACAAGAAAATCAAGGCTGTTTGCCCCGAAACAATTATGTTTAACTTTTGGATCCCTGCAGCTGCTGACCTTGGCTCAGCAGTTGTCAAACTCCCTGGATGACACATGAAACAAAGGCTTGACTCCCCATTCCCTTCCCCGTATCATTCGTGGGTGGTCCAGTCTGAAGGCCACGATGGGTGGAGACAGAGAACTGAACTCTGGTGAACTGAGCTTGGGTTGATAACTTTTTTTGGACTCTGGAGGTCTCTGATTGGTTCTAGCATGGAGTATTAACCTGAAACGTCACCGGCTCCACTGAACCCCACCCGATACCATGTGTTTGACCCCTAACCCCTCCCTTCCTCAGCTGCCTTGCACTGACTGAGTGGTTTTTGTGCGTGTGTGTGATTGTGTGTTTATATGTAAACATAGGATCAGAGCATCTGTTTTTAACTCACCTTTCCTATTGTTTCTCTTTTTTTCCTAAGCTGCAAAAACGTAGCGCACCGTCGTTGTGAAAGACCTGGACATTTGTTCCCCATGTTTGTTATGTGTGTCTTTCCCCGAACGGATGTTCTAAACTGCAGTTTCGTTCTGCATTGCATATTTGAAGTTGTGTGTGAATGACAATAAATGATTCTGATGTTTTCAGAGGATGTCTCGTACCTGCAGAGGACGAGGCAGGACACTGAACGAGGTCCATGTCTTCAGAGGACAGCTTTATTTCTTTTGAATAAAATTCCAGTTTTGTTGGGTAAAAACTCACTCAGGTGTTTTTGTGACGTCCAGGTGAATTTGATCTGTTCTTTTTTTTTAGTTTAGTTTTGTTTCCAGCAGGTAATGAGGTCATCTGTCTCACCTGATTTCTGTCTCGTCCTCTATCATCTTCATCCTTTAGGGGTCCCGACTTCAGAGACTCCGATCGATGGGGGGCACTTCAAACGGCTCTTGGATCTGCTGCTCCTTTGAAACGAGCAGGAGGCAACAATATCTAACATGAACAAGATGGTGTTGCGTCAGCGAGCTGCTGAGAACAGAGGAAGGACGGAAGACGAGGAAGAGGAGGAGAGAGGACAGGCAGAGCTGAAGGAGAAGAAA